AACCTCTATACAAGCAAAAAGACTTCCCATTACTACAGATCTGGACGCTGTTGACGTGTCGATCACATACCACTTAACCATACATATCTGCGATATATACATACAACACCCAAAAGATCTGGACTTTAACGCAATAGAGTCTTTGCTGCTACAAATTCCCATGCCCAGAATCATAGTGGGAGATTTTAATTGTCATAATATATGCTGGGAATCAGACTTCTCTGAAAGATACGGCATGGAGCTTGAAAACATATTTGACAATATTGGTCTGATACAACTTAATGATCGTCGCAGCACTAGGTTCAATGCTTTCAATGGGAAGTTCTCGTTGATTGATTTATCTTTCTGTGACCCTTCTTTAGCCCCTTTTCTCCACCGGAACCCCCTATCTAACCTCTATGATAGTGACCACTATCCTATAACTATTCGCCATAGTAAAGATGATGCTTCTTGTGCATCCACTACACAAAGATGGAAGTTGAATAAAGCTGATTGGGATAAATATCAACAGCAGGTTGAACAACGCCTACCATTACTTCCCACCTGTGAAGACATCAATATCGAGATCAACAGCCTGATTCACGTTATAAAAGATGCCGCTCACATTGCTGTAGGAAAAACGAAAACATGTAACAGAAAACCAGTCCCATGGTGGAATCAACAAGTCTCTAATGCAATATCCACCTGCAAACATTGTTTCAATGTCCTCAAGAAACATAACACAGCCGAAAATCTGCGAAAATTTAAACAAGCTACAGCAAAAGCCAGATATAATATCAAGAAAAGCAAGAAAGAATCCTGGCGAATCTATGTATCCACTATTAAGTCGTCTACACCTGCATCGCAAACCTGGAATAAAATCAAGAGCATTAGTGGATCAAAAACAAGCTACGAAATAACCTCTATAAAATACAATAACCAAGTAGTATCTGACAAATCAGCTATCCCAGAAATCTTTGCTGACGTCTACTCAGCACACTGTAGCGAAATTGACTACAGTCCTTGTTTTCTCCAGTACAAGTCACAGGTTGAAGGTGACATATACAATAAGATTCTGGTGTCCCGACAATTTCCTGACGTCTGGAGGAGAGCCATTGCTATCCCCATCCTAAAGCCAAATAAGCCTCAAGATGACCCTGCTTCGTATAGGTTGATATCGCTGACATGTTCTATGTGCAAGCTGATGGAGAAAATCTTCAATAAACGCCTGTTATGGTTTTTAGAAAAACAGGTCTACGACAGATAACACTGTAGTACTGGAATCCACCATCAAGCAAGCATTCGCAAACAACCAAAGTGTTATAGCTGTATTCTTCGATATAGACAAAGCTTACGACACCACCTGGCGATATCTTATCATAAAATCCGCGATTGAAATGGGTATCAAACGGCATCTCTTAGGTTTCATACAAAACTTTCTGAGTAACCGCACCACGAGGGTGAGAGCCAACGGAAAGATGTCCAACGAAAGAACATTAGCAAATGGAATATCACTGGGATCCGTGTTAAGCGTCACACTTTTTTTAATAACGATCAATGGATTAATTGAACTATTTAAGACACCAGTAAAGGCACCGATGTACGCAGATGACTTAGTTATATACTTACCAACGAATAACCTACCCACAGGACAAAGCATCATACACCAATCAATCAATAAAATGGAGAGATGGGCAGCTACAACAGGTTTTCGTTTCTCCAGCGATAAGACCAATTACCATATATTTAGCAAATCTAGACGAACCAGTGACAATATCGTACTCTCTCTGAACAGCACCAGAATTCAGAAAGTTCACAGTATAGTTTTTCTTGGGATGACACTTGATTCGAAATTGAAGTGGGATCTACATATAACAAAATTAATATCATCGTGTCAAAAACGTTTGAACCTTATTAAAGTCTTAGCAAATACCTTTTGGGGAAGTGACTTCTCATCACTAATGGGAGTATATCGCGCTATATTAAGAAGCAAAATCGACTATGGCAGTATATGCTATACAACCGCAAGTAACAATTCTCTAAAAAAACTTGACGTTTTACAACACAAGGCAATACGACTGGCATATGGCTTACTAAGAACTTCACCGGTGGAAAGCATCCATGTCCTAGCTAATGAGCCCCCGTTACACCTTCGAAGAGAATACCTTGCTCTACGCTATGCCGCCAAAATTTCAAGCCTACCAGACAATCCTGCTCACTACATTACTGTCAAGTGTTCTTCCAGAGGATTATACAGCAACTACAGAGACTGCCCAATATCAGAGCGTATTATTCGCACCGACTTCAACCTAAACAATCTTCAGCACACGTACTCATATTCGTTATATTCTCCCCCATGGACAATGCGCCTACCCGATATTAATACATCGCTTAACTGTTACACCAAAAGAGAAACCAATCATATAGTCATCCAAAATAAATACAGAGAAGTAATTGAACACTACAAAAATCATATGCTCATCTTTACCGATGCTTCGAAGTCGTGAAATGGAGTGGGATGTGCAGCAATTCAAGAAAACAACAAGAAAACAGCATCTCTCCCTCATCACAGCAGCATCTTTACCGGAGAGCTAACTGCTATCAAGTTAGCCCTAAGCATGGCATCGGCAACCGCAACAAGGAATATACTTATTCGGTCCGACTCCATGAGTGAATTGGAAGGAATCAAGCAATTATACCCGCAACACCATATTCTTAAAGAAATAAAGCAATGTATCAACCTACTAGCCAACAAAATGAAGACAGTGAGGTTCCTATGGATACCGTCTCACGTAGGAATAGACGGAAATGAAAAAGCCGATCGAGCAGCAGCTGCCGCGGTGACCGACGCCAATCTAGAAATAATAAACACGCCACATACCGATTTGATGACCCTGGCAAAACAACACATCTGTACTATTTGGCAAAGCCAATGGAACAATAGCACCACCAAACTGCGGGAGGCTATTTCAAGTGTGACGGAACACCTCAGTCTACCCAGAAGAAGACGCGACCAAGTGATTATCTCCCGTTTGCTAATTGGTCATACGCTAGTGACACATAAATACCTGTTCAGCAACGAAGAAGCCCCATTATGCCAAACCTGCTAACTCCCAGACTGCAGACGTACCGTGAAGCATATACTCTTAGAGTGCGCTGCCACGCAAGATGCACGAAACCATGCTTGCATGCCAGAATCCATTAAGGAAGCCCTCACCACGTACCCTATCATTGTTACCTTGTCGTCCAGCCGCTAATAACCCTGCGTGGTTGATGCAGCTTTTGTGTTTTCTCAATAAAAAAAAGGGTCAAAAACGAAAAAAATAAAGATTGCTCAAACTTAGTTTTTGGAAACTTCAGAGGATCCTGATCATATTTGAAAAAATTGGGGATCCAAAAATTTTAGAGTGGAGGATGGTTGAAGGGTTAAGGGAGGGTCGACTCATTTTTTTTTAATTTTAGTATGTTTATACGCTCCCAACGCAAATATATGACATTTCCCACATCATAGATGCATTTTCTCTTGAAACAAAATGATAGAGAAATGCTTTCGATACTCGTCACTGCTTCTGCTGTCTGAGATCGCCGGCGAGCGTAATGGTCTTAGTAAGTATCGAGAAAGGGCGAGGCTGCCATATGGACTACCAGTAGGGCAGGAAAAGAACGTCTATGGACTAATTGTGTGAACCTGTTTGACTGACTTGATTCGTTTAATTTCTGTGGGAAGTCTTGTTTATATCTCGAAAAGATGTACTATATGTTTGACATAGGAATAGATAAACTGCACCATCATGGCTCAGCTCATAATTAGAAGCACTATGTAGTTACCCAGCTGAAGCTCAACAAATCTTATATTTTTTGGACCGCATGGAAGTGTTTTTGACTATTACCTAATATCGTTACGGGGCATAATGGACTGCGAACCCGAATATGTGAATGAAACTTTAATCATGTTCTAACCCTTTGTCAATGGCCAATTTCACCAACATTTCCTAAATTAAAACCTAACTAAGAATTACTTAGCGGTAGGAATTTCCTAAATACAATCTTTGGTTTCACCAGGCTAGGTAATTCTTAGTTATGAAGTTCCTAGTTAAGACACAGTGTTTAGAAAGTTTTTGTTGTCAGGTTGCAATACTTCATAAAAATCGATTCGATATTTCATAAGTGACAAGTGACAATTATTGTCATTCATGACAGCTGTCTGCTTGGATGCTTGAATGCTATTAGGTGGTTTGGTTAAAATGGATATAATTGTGCAAAAAAGAAAGCGCTCAGCTAATTTCAATAGCGATGATAAAATAATGCTATTGTCTTTAATTGGAAACAATAGCATTATTTTAAACAAAAAAACCGATGGTTCTACAAACCAGATGAAGGAGGAGGCCTGGCTGAAAATTGGGCAACAATTTAATTCACGTGCAGGGGAGAGAAGGTAGATATTTGTCTATTATATATTTATTAGTATTCATTACCACGTTAAATTGGTTTTTGCAGGGAGGTAGAAAGCTTGAAGAAAATATGGGCAAAACTGAAGAGCGATGCGAAAACTTACCGGGCCAAAGAACGCATTAGCGTTTCGCAAACTGGAGGTGGGCCTTCTGAAGTAAAAGCAGACCCCATACTGGAAAAAGTATTAGATATTTTGGGTCGTGCTGGTAGGGGTTTGGAAAATATCACTGATTGCGATATTGAAGAAGGCAAAGAAAATATGGTACCAGAAAATGCTTCATTGGGTATGTTATAATATATATATGTAATGAAATTCAATGCTAGTAGAAAATGATATATTTCAGATTTACAAGATAACATTGTTGTTGAGGAAGAAGAGGAACAGGAGCATCAGATTCAGCCTCAAATAATAGTATGCATAATCATCATGTTGCTTTGGATGATTTTTAATAGATTTTTTTCAAGGATAAGACGCCTGTTCACCAAAGAAGATGACCACTAATTTCAATTGAAAGAGGGAGCTCCTTGAATGAAGCACGGTGCTTAACAGAAAGGAAAAAACAAGAACTAATAGATGCAGAAATGAGAAGGGAAATGGAACTTCACGAGCTCAAAAAAAGAAAACTAGAAAAAGATATTGAAATAAGGGATCTTATAATTAAAAAAATTAATGGTGAGGAAGTTCTTAATTTTTTATTGAAAATGTCTAGCTACAAGTATATCTCGACTTAAATTATTTTGTCCATTTTGAATATTTCTTTCCATTTGGCCATTTTGTATATCATTTTCAATATTCTCTACTTCTACTGGTGGGACATCTTCATTTTTATCTATGCAAATGTTGTGTAATACAGAGCATGCCAATATTACATTTATAGAATTTTCTAATTTTAATCTTAATCCAGTAGCCAATACAGGAAATCTTCGTTTTAGCACTCCATATTGTCGTTCCACTGTATTTCTTGTTGCAATATGTGCCCTATTATAATTTTGCTGGCCGATAGTTTGTGGGCTTAAAAAGGGTGTCATCAGATAATTCTAAAAATATTTAAATATGTATAAATAACGTTATCCAAAGCAAATGTATACAAAGCATGAAATATATATGTTATTCTTGTTTCAGATGGAGAACCTCTAAACGATTTGATCACACTTATGCAAATGGGAAATTGAAGTAAAATGAATAGATATAAAATGGAATTGTTTTGCAATAAATTTCCAAATAAATTAATAGTTGTTTCTTTTATTATTTTTTAACTTACTAAAGATTGTGTGACTAAGATATTGTTTATTATGTATATCATATATCTTACTTTTAAAGGATATCCATTATCTCCCAAAAGTAATCCTGCAGCATGCACTCCTGTCTCAAATTGATAGCATAGTCTGCTATTTTGAAAAATAGCAGAATCATGTGTAGATCCTGGCCAACGACACACAATGTTTAATATCTTTAATTTTGCATCAGAGACAGTTTGTACATTCAATGAAAAATAACCTTTTCTATTTCTGAACACTTCTGCATCATCTCCACCTGAATGTAAATGTTCATAAATAATATTGTGTTGGTATTAGGTCATTAATTTACCTGGTGACTGTATCTTTATGTGTGTACAATCAATTGATCCTAGAACATTTGGAAATCCGGCAATTAAAAAGAGTCATGTTTTACTTTATTTCTCTCTTCATTTGTGGTGGGAAATTTTACAAATCTTTGCAGCAATGATGCCAAAGCATGAGAAACTTTCTTTACAATCCTGCAACTACTGCTACTACTAACACCACCATAATCGGCAACAGATGTTAAGTGGCATCCTGTTGCATAGAATCGCAACGCAATTAAAAGTTGGTTTATGGGTGCAATTGCAGCATTTCTGTAAAAACGAAATATTATCAATTTAATTTCAAATATTAGGTACCTTTACACTGTTATACATACCTGTAATCTGCATATGCCAGCTGATGTTCAATTTGATCTAAGACGAACAGTGCAGTGTTTTTATTCATGCGAAATCTACGGAAAAAATCCATTTCGTCGTACTGCTCGAAATAATCGGTACGATCTCTCAGAACACGAGGACGTCGTATATGTTCATCATCATCGTCATAATGGTCCAAATCTTCGATAAATTCAATCACTTCCATATAGCTGCTATATTCGCTAGGAATATAACGTCACTTATGACAAATGTCAAACGGGCTAAGAACTTCATAACCGGCTTAGAACGCTGTTTAACCAATACCTATCTTAGGTAATACTTATCTCACTTTAGGAAATACTTAGCAACTGGAGAAACCGAAAATGGATTTGGGCAGTTCTTAACTTGAATTAAGAAACTCCTAAATTTTAAGACACGTTGGTGAAATCGGCCATAAGACTCTGACAAAAATGCCATGTTATACCTCATTCGACATTTTTATACATATAATACGACCTTTAAAAAAAAACATGACAAAACAAGGAGCTCACAATGTGCCCTTCAATAAGATTGTGTTGAAAGTGTGCCTTATTGCCACCCATCCACAGCAGAATCAGCCTTTTTCCATGCGGTTTGGATAATTTAGCTCAATTATGCCATTATAATATCCGACAAAAGTATAGCAGAGGGGCGATCGACCATTTTTGAAAGGTAGTTTGATGGGTCATATGGACATTTGGTTGTTCCGACAGGGAAATTGGTCCAGTAAGAGCTGATAGCCACAAAAACTTCTTTCCATACCATTTTCATTGGAACACGGACATCAAATTCAATCATTTAATATAAGAAACAGGATATTTAAGCCCATTACTAAAGGAGTCTTGCAGCTCAAGTTACTTTCCTTAACTTTTACAGTAGCGTCATTGCCACAATTAGCATTTTGCACTGATACGTTGGCGCAATGTGTAATTTTGGCAACTACTTGGTCTTCTCTTTGATGGCTGAATAGCTATTATTGAACTATACGAATAAATATTTTGCTTTTGCATGAAAGTGTTTAGTGCCTTCGAAGCATTGTTAAAGCTGACATTTCTATTCATTTTGCAATTTTATTGAAGTACAAGGCTAATAAGTAAATTGATTTTGAATACAAGGTTATACTGAAAAAATTGATTGTTGATTGATGCCACAACACTGGTGTTTTATCTTGAAGATAACATTCTTCTAGAGTGTTTTGTTTAAATAATTACATGATCAAAAGAACTTATCTATATATTCTATCTTAATTATGTGGAGGCCTCGTCGAAATAAATATAACAGATGTAGTACCCCGTTTCCCAGCCAAACTCACTAGTTCGAAGCGCGCACAGCAAAGAAAAGCGGCCCACTGCGCTCTCCCACCTTCCTCTTCTCCGGTCTCTGGCGTACAAACTCTCATTTTCTTCAAAGAAAAGTTGTTGCAACAATTGGCTGATATATATAGAGAGGGGAAGGTATTTACTTCGACGAAGCCTTCACATAATTCAGATCGACCATCACTTACAGGTAAGTTCGTCTTATCATGTTGTTTGTTTCAAGTAGGAATAGAGTTTGCGCACTCTGGAATCAGGTTACGATTAGCAGTGTTGCTGATATCCTCAATCGCATATCTACAGAGGTCACCGGCAGCCCCTCTAGTTGGTTAACTACTACGACAGCACCTCAAGTGGGACTATATTGCGGTTGAGATGGAATTTGCAAGCAAAATCCTTACCTCGCATAAGGTACCTAATATACAGGGTGTTTCAGTTTATTGTTGCATAACTTTAAGATTCGATAGAACTTTTAAAATTAATGCATAAAGTCTATATAAACATGGGTCGAAAAATGCGTGGCTTCCGAAATACAGAGTGTTTAAATTTACTTTCTAAAATAGTTTTTTTTAAATATTTCGAACAATATTTGATGTATAATAGTGAAAATTGGTATACAAGGGTTTTTTGGTACGACAAAACGAACCATGGGCATAGTTTTACTGTAGCCGCTAGAGAGCTCTCTACTGTACTTGTAGTGTATTAAAATGACCGAAAAAATTTTCTTAGTGCAATTTTTTGCTTTTTGAACAAAAAAACTGATTCAACATAAAATCTTGTGAATTTTCGTTATAGTTAGCCGTTTTTGAGATATTTCAATTTTTAAGGTTCGATGCATTTTTAATTATTTATGATAATATAACGTTAAAAAGTCAGTATTTCGATAATTTTTAGAAGTAGGCTGTGCCTGCAAATATTTTTGAAATTGAAAGCAGAATAAGGTCAAACGTCAATTAGTTGACAGTCAGTTTTGTTGTCTGTTCAAACCTGAAACGTTTTTTTGCAATTGTGAATGCACGAAATTTAGTTTCTTTTACCTGTTTTTTTCTGTAAATTTTATAAAAATACCATCTTTATTCTCCAATCAAGAGTTAGCGGATATTCATTTTGTGTATGGCTTTGTAAATGGAATCGCGGCAGAAGCAGCCAGAGAATACACATGAAGATTTCCAAATAGACGACATCCAACTCGCTCAGTATTTGTAAGAGTGCATCGCCAAATAATTGAAAATCGTTTTGGAAATCTCCAAAGAGATCAAAACATAAATGTTCGTCAGCGCAGATTTACCCGTATGATTCTGCGTGAGTTTGATAGAGATCCGGCCACAAGTGTTAGGAGAGTTTCAGGTGCCTTGGGAATTTCAGCAAGCCATGCTCACCGTGTTCTTAGAAATGACCATAAACGTCCTTACCATTTGCAACCTGTGCAAGGACTACAGCCAGGGGACGGAGAACGAAGAATCACATTTTGTCAGTGGATTCTTCATAGAACTGATAATAATAGGGAGTTTTTAATTAACGTTTTTTGGACCGATGAGCCATGCTTCACTAGACGTGGAGTGATACATTTTCATAATCAACATATTTGGTCGCATGAAAATCCGTATGCAGTTCGGGAAAGAAATTTTCAGCATGAATTTAGTGTGAACGTGTGGATTGGTATCTACTGTAATCGACTATTTGGACCCTACCTTTTGCCTGCAAGGATAAATTCTGCGACCTTCTTGGAATTTTTAAAGGCTGAACGTGCAAATATGTGGGATGATGTTATGTTAGATTTAAGAAGATTGGCCTGGTTCCAGCTTGATGGTTGTCCAGCTCATTATTCGAGAATAGTTAGAAACTGGCTGGACGAAAATTATCCAGAAAGATGGATCGGCCGTGGAGGACCAGTCGCCTGGCCTCCGCGATCCCCTGACCTAAATCCATTAGAATTCTTTGTGTGGGGATTTCTAAAAGAAAAAGTGTACCAGACTCCCGTAACCACAAGAGATATGCTAATAGACAGAATCAGGAATGCATGTGATGAAATAAGGCCTTATTTGAATAATGCTATACCACGTTCGATCATTCGTAGATGTGAATTGTGTATTGAACAATTGGGTTTACACTTCGAGCGACTACTTTAGATTTTGTATGTTTGTCCTAACTATCCAATACCATTTTAGTTGTAAATAATTAATTTAATTTGTTAAAAATAATATTGGAAAATTAAAGAAATTAATATTCTGTTTTTTGTCTTTATTTGGAGTTAGGAATTATTGCTGTGTTTAAAAACGCAATCTAAACGATCATCTTGATTACTTGTAATGCCCAAATCGAAAATGTAAATAGAAAATATTATTTTCCCATAAATAATTAAAAATGCATCGAACCTTAAAAATCGAAATATCTCAAAAATGGCTAATTATAACGAAAACTCACATGAGAGCTTCTTTATGCAGAAAAGTACGAAGAATCAGTTTTTTTATTCAATAAGCAAAAAATTGCACTAAAATTTTCGGTCGTTTTAATACACTACAGGTACAGTAGAGAGCGCCCTCTAGCGGCTACAGTAAAACTATGCCCACGGTTCGTTTTGTCGTACCAAAAAACCCTTGTATACCAATTTTCACTGTTATACATCAAATATTGTTCGAAATATTAAAAAAAAAACAATTTTAAAAAGTAAATTTAAACACCCTGTATTTCGGAAGCCACGTATTTTTCGACCCATGTTTATATAGACTTTATGCATTAATTTTAAAAGTTCTATCGAATTTTAAAGTTATGCAACAATAAACTGAAACACCCTGTATATCTGGTAATAAAGAAAAAATATACCAAGACGGTTTCATAACCTGCCCTGTTCACAAGCAAATGAGAAGAGATTGTTGACCATACTTTGTCGCTACGATGTCCTAACGAGTGTTGTTTTTTGACGTAGGATCTTAGTCATCTCAAGTACAAGTTTCGGAGGTCAAAGTTCCGTGTTCAGTCGTTATCCCAAACGTCTTATTTCGTCCTTGGTGTGGAGCTGACTATCACAAGCTACTGAGTCAAATGTTTCAACGTTATCGCAGACGTCTTTGTTCGTCCATGTTATGGAAATGGCTATCACAAGCTAGGTCCATGTTGCTATCCCACATAATATAGGACATAGAACGTTATCCGAAACGTCGTTTCAGACAGTCTGAAATGCCGGTGACGCATCCATACTAACATGCACCTAACTTCATAAACTTGCACCTAAAACAGATTGATTAGTCGATAATTACCTGATGATAACGCCCCTTCAGAAACTGAGGCTTTTGTCAGTTCTTATGTTTTGGGCATCTCGATACTGCTGAAAACGTAAAAACGTTGCACGAGAACAAGGAATGAGGCCAGGGAAGGTGGGAGGACGCGTACTCGCTTTGAACTAGTGGGTTTGATCAGGAAGGGGGGTACTACTCCTGTTCTACTTACAACACGAGGCCCGAACATAATAGATTTTTAGCGAAACGTATTCTTGGATATGAACAATTTTAGAATTTGATGAGATTAGACTTACAAGAGCCTTCGATAATGCCACTTGATTGGATAACTGGATTGGATAAAAAAATGTACCTCGTATTCGGACTGATTGACGATTCTTCCTTTTGATTATAATGAGCGACAACTATCTGTTCATATAACGCCGCGTACAGACCGAAAATCCAACGCCGAGCAAACGAACACATTGTTGTTGGAAGATATTCGAATGCGCTCGTCTACACGTCGCCTACACCTAAATTTAGTTTCGAGTTGAACCGCGTTGGGTTAGGTTCGGCGCTACAGACAAACAGCTAAATACTAGAAGTGCAACAAATCCTGTCCAGACCAAATCAAACCTTCCTTTGATGTACCGATCAAGGAGCGTACGCAATCGAACGCCAACAGCGACATTGGAAACCGTTGGCTTATGTTGGCCTGCGCCGTACACCCCGATTCGAACACCTCCAAATCTGTAAGCACATGTGCCTGTGTCTTATGTTTGGAATGTCGGTCTGTACGTGGCGTAACGGTAACTGTGATTCAGTGTAGGCCTGAGGCGTAGGGGCCCGCTGCAATTTCAGCTTATGGACCAAAGTTATACCAAGCCTTGGAAAACTATTTGTAGGTGGCAGTTGACAGTATTGTCACACCTTT